AATAATCTCCAAAACATATCTTATGATAAAAAGGTTTCAGAAAAATGTATTTTAAATGTGCATATGATATGCATACATTTGTAAATACAAAGAAAAAAGGATTAGAAGTCCAATACATGTTATAAAGGGTAACATATGGAATGCGGTGGGTAGTAGGATACAAGGAACTTCCAAATTGTAGTCAATATTTTTATATGTTATTTGAATATTTTACAAGAAGAATATTAGGGTTTACTTGAAAATGGGGCATTTTTAATGCAAAGAAATATGCATGAACTTCCTACATTTTTTGATTTTAAAAAAAGGAGGGCTCCACTGCACCAAGTTGAAAAGCCTGCCCTACAGTGACACCAAATGGTGGCAGATCAAAATGCAGCACACCAACAGGACACTTGTTCCATTTAACCTGCCTGCAAGGGTTTGATTCCTTTGAAGAACCGACAGTTTAACAGAATGAAATAATATAGAGACAAATACCCCAAAACCTATAATTTTTAATCAAAGTGTAGTGCACTAAGCTTCAAATGCAAATTATTAGGCCTTTTTCCAAACTTCAGCTAATCTTCTGATCCCAATGAATATTTTACATCTTATTTCTCACACAATTAAACCACCCCACAGTGAGCACAGTGGTTTTACTTGGTGGTTTAGTGATCAAAGAAACACTGTGAATATATTTTTTTAATGCCGTCATGCAACTAAAACCAGGTTCTACTCAATGGGAACCATCTTTGGTAAGCAGGCAATATTTTGGAGGGATGAATGAGGAGGTGCTGGGGCTGACAAGGGAAGGAAGGAATCCGAGAAAAGAGACAGACAACTAACTGACCTAATGAGTGATTTTCTGGGAAGTGTATTTGTCATTTCTTCATCTTATTAACAGAAAATTAAGTTGAATAAAGCATAAAGCTGTATCATGCCAAATATAAACTAATTTCTCAATAAAATTTTTGTCCTGCACTGTCCAAGGAAAATAATTTTTCAAATTAAGCAAATTAGTCAGTACTCAGTGTCCTTGGCCCAGACCTAACTGAACAAAAACAGCATGTAGACTGTCTCATTCATTACACGTCACACAAAAAGACACAGAGGTGGACACAACCTCCCAGAGCATTTCTCTAGAATTCCATTTGACCAGAACCCCTGGTCTAAAATTTCTGATGGGTTATTTTTCATATGCCAGATTCTCCCAAAACATGTAGGACATAGAAATATACTGTAATCAACTACAAAAACAAGCCACTAATATCATTAATGTTATAGGCCCTGAATTCATAACACTGGATATCAATTCTAAAGGTACCAGCCAGCAACCACCACCATGTCACCACTACTACTACACTACAATGTCTAACAGAACCATCTTGCTCTCTTGGCTCCTGTGCCCCTGGTTTCTCACGGGCTTTCACGCTCCTGCTCTCCTGCACTCACCCACATGGCCCACAGCCACATGGACCTCTAGGAACACTTGAGTCATGACCTGATCAGACTGGCTAATGTCCAAGTCATAAGGACAGCAAGGGTATTAGTTTAGAAAAGTACCTTAAAATTCTGAATTACTAAAAAAAAAAAAAAGGGGGGGGAGCAACTAAACTCTTAGTTTTATAAAAGTATCCATGTCTAGTACTCATGAATGAAGAATATTCCTTTAGAAATGGAGATGGTATCTGCATTAGAAATGTTTGGCTTCCAGCCCGGCCTGTATGGCTTGGTGAACTGAGCATTGTCCCACTGACTGAGAGGTCCCAGTTCAATTCCCGGGCAGGGTACATGCCCAGGTTGTGGGCTCGATCCCTGGTAGGGGTCATGCAGAGGCAGCTGATCAATGTTCTCACTCAAATTGATATTTCTCTCTCTCCCCCCCCCTTCTTTTCTTTCTAAAATGTCAATAAAGCATAGTTTTTAAAAACTTTGCTTCCAATTTCAAAAGAGAAATAAATAAAAGTGAATATGAAACTTCATATTACAGGAAACCTGGAGAGAATATAGACATTTCAAATGCCTTTGTGGTTGAAACAAAGCTTCAAGGACATACAATTTAATGGATATTGACATGATGTATATGTAAAGTAATACAAGGAAAAAAATAAAACATTTCTAATTTACATGTTGTATCTTATATATTCTACTGGTCTTTAACTGACTCTGGTTACTAGCATTCTGGATGTGTTACTTTTGCACCCCATCTTTCTATCAAAGACAAAATAATGTGAACAAATGCCAAAGTCCTGGTAAAGCTACTTTTGTATTCTTTTACATAATTTTTGTGTGGAATTAAAGCTGATTATATAATGCAGAAAACTGCAGGGACTCTATTATTGTATCATGGTATCCATTATTGTATCAAATTTGGGTGTATGTTTACATACAATACACCTGAGAAATCTTTAATTCATAAGAATTAAATTAATGGATAAAAGAAATAGTAAAACTCATCAGCAAGTAATACAATTGGAATTTTAACTGCTTTTTGTTAAAATAAATACAATGCTAGCAATCACAATATCAATCTATAGAATCTGAAATTGAAACAAAGCTAATCACAAGCCTATGATGAAAACACAAACTTTGGCCCTATCTGGGGGTACAAAAGCTATCTCCACCTTTGATGATTCCTTCTTTATGACTGTGATGATTTTTCAGGTTGAACTGATTAGTACCTTAAATCTAGGTTTAGTTCATCAGTAATTGCTTTTCTACAAAATAAAAGCCATATGAGAATCTATAGTCTATGTTAACAGCCCATCTTCGATAAGTGAATGAAACATCATTTCATTAAGTTTGTTACTTGAAACATGAAACTTGGTATTATGGGAATCTTTCAGAAAAATACATGATAATTATAATCAGTTTCCCAAACCTACCAAATTATTATATTATTTGTACAATGTTGATAAATTGAAAACATATCAGTCTAATAATTAGCAAACAATATTGAGTTTTTATCTACAGAGGTAAACAAAAAACTTTAGGCATTCCACATGCTTCTACACTTTTTTTCTTTTGTAATTCTCAAGTATTGTTTGGAATTTTTAGGTGGATTTCCCCTCTTTTGGGGGAAGGAAGAGTTAACAGTAGGGGGAGCTAAAATGAGAATGGTAAATACTTGAAATGGAAAAAGGCAACGGTAAAGAATATTACTATTTGACCATGTAATATAAAAAGTTTCACTTTTTCCTCAACTTTATTTCCCTTTTCCTCACCAGAACAGTATTTTAAAATGTTAGTACTACACAAACCAAAACTTAGACAGTGTGTTCCAGAACATTCACAATAAACAGATGATACAGCACTGTTCATATTGTCCATAGCAGATGTTTCCAACAGCATCACTCTTTTCACATTAAATTCCATTTGCAGTCAGGAATGACCTGTGATGGTATGAGCAGATTCAACGTCCATCACTGTCTTAAAAACAAAACTAGACCTCTAGTACTAGTACATGAAATATAATTATTTTAATATTCTGATCCCTAGGAGTACACTACTTACGAATTACAGGTCTTTGATTTGAACTTAAGTCTTTAAAGGAAGGCATAACCTGGTTATTTTTAACCTAAAATATCTGCTGGTTTGTGTTCATTCTTCTGTGACAATCGCTAGAACATGAGTATAGTTTTAAATCTTTTTGGTGATATGCAACATATTTGTTAAGTAGACATTTTTATATAAACTTGTGTTTAAAACTTAAGGTATGTGGGAAATATTTCGGACTTATAATTTTACATTTTATGATTTTCTTCAAGAGTCAATAAAATGGCCAAAGATCAAACCTCTACATAGTGTGTTGTTAAAATTTTAATGCCAATTATGCCTTATTCATTTATTCTCATACAGAAGACATTGCAAGAAGAATATTATATAGAAATTAAGAAAAAGACAAAGTGATCAGGTAATAGAAAATAAAGCAAGCAAGAAAATAAAAGTGGAGGAAAAACTAAAAAAGAGTACCCCAAAGAACTGGATAAAAAAATAAAAAGCATTTTTGTAAATATAATGCTAAAAAGTTTTAAATTCAGAATTAGAAGACTACAAATAAAGAAAACCCTTCTTGTTTCCATCTGTGTTCTGTTCAAAGTTTTATGAACCGGGGGACAGGAGGAAAGGAGGCACTGAGGGAGGGCAGAGTGAAATGGGCTTATGAAGAGACAGAAAGGAATTTAAAAACAAATGCCTACAAGTGAAATGTGGTGTGGAGACACAGTCCTCCAGTGAGTCCACCCAAACTTTCAAAGTTTTATCAAATGCAATTTCATCATGTCCCTGGTAATAACATAACTGAAGAAGGAAAACGACCAAGTAATCATACAATAATAAAAACTAAAACACTACTTTAAAGTATCATTATGATAAGAGTGTAACCAAACTCAAAATAATAATTTAATGATAGGAGAAAAGAGCAGGAGAAAGAAAGCTTGATAAAAATCTTAATTTTAAGTTGCAACACAGCTAATACATAACACTGGCAAGTCTTCTCACCTCTTCAGACCCCAACTTCTATAAATAGGAAGCTGGAACAAGATGATTATCAAGGTTTCTGAAGTTTTAAAAAATGTATTCATTTTTCAACCACATTGCCAAAAATAAAAAATAAAAAAAACCCTACAAAATCCTATTTCTAATTCCAGATGTAAAATATGAGAAGAACTGAAGTGAGTGATCGAAATGAGAAACTGAAGCTACTCTTGGCAATATGTTGGAATACAGAGCTCTAGAATTAATCATAATTTTCATTTTATATTTTGACATCAAATACAGAATATGAAAATCATGTTGATACTTTTTAAAGATTTCTTGGACTTCACTTAAGTCTAAAGTTTTAATGCATATTTTAAATCAAGATAATTTCCCATAAATATACTTAAGTTAAACAACAACAACAAAACGCACAGACATTAAAGGATTGTGTGTAACAATGATGTAAAAGCTTGACATTTTCTTTCCTGTTTTCCACAGTATTAAAATCCCCTCAAGAGAGAGTGAACACCCAGAGTACTCACCACAACAGCAAACTGCTCTGGTTCACATAAGTTGTAATAGTCACTCTTGAACTGAGACAATGAATTTAATTGTTGTTGATCAGGAAGATGCTTTATTAAGTTCTAAAAATTAAAACCAAAAGAAAATATCTTCAGTAAACGTGCTTCTTGAATTCTAGGTAAATTTATCAATAAACTCTGGGAAAAAAAAAATCAGTCAAGACATTAATGTTTAGTTTTATTTCTAGGTAACCTCCCTTTATACTCAGCCTTAAGCTGCATTCTCTGTATCTTGAAAGCAATTTTCTTCTTCTCTATCCAGAGTTATTATACATTCAAATCAAGCACTACTGAATGTTTATTTGATTAGCTTTATAATTGAGAAAGAAGAACTCAACCTATACCACAGAAACAGCTTTCTCACCTGGATAAATGTGATCAATTATATTTCAGCTTTAGGGAACTAAACATCAGAAATTTCAGGAGAAGCCAAACATATTTTAACACTTCACTCTCGGGAATAAAAGAAATTACCATATTGCTACTAAAAGGCAAGGAAAGGAATAGAGAAGAAATCAAGGAAATTATAATGAGAGTTCTTTTAAGATTTAACCAATATGAGTATGGTATTAATAATAAAAATGAAGATATCTCCAAAACAAAGTAATTCTGATGTGAAAGAAATCTGAAGAGGCACTGAAGACACAGAATGATAAACCATGCAGATAAAAGCATATACATATATGGGTGCTTTAGGGACTCCAGTGCCTGTGTTAACGCCCTTTGCCTGTGTGATCAGCAGTCCAGAAACCAGAGATTCATGTGGTCCTCTGACTCCCTTGTCCATGCACAGCCTTTCCAAAGCCACACACACCGACAAGAGAAACACTCCCAGTGGAGAAAGATCAAGGAAATACATATAATTATGCTTCCCTGTTTTTCCCTTGGAAAAAAACTATATAAATCCTCTATGTCAAAATATAATGGACTAGAATACTGTTATAACAAGTTAGCATACTGATAATAAAATTAAGAAAAAGAGAGTGGTTGGTGCTCACAATCCCATATTATAGAATCAGTATATTCTGTGCAAACCCAAATTCAAGTACAAATTTAAATTAAGCCTACATCATGCTACCCATATAAATGGGGAAATAAATCCCCAAAGGTGTTATTAGTTAAAAACAATGTTAGAGAATGTTATCTATCAAAGCACTTAGATCAAAGAACAAGTTTTTGACTCACTGTGTATCTCTGAACAAAAACTTGGTTGCCTGGCCAAAAACAAAAAGGGGCAATTTATGATCATCCCTAAAAAACACATTCACTATTAATACTACCAACTGAATAAAAACATGAAGGTAGTATATGATTTTCCCACAGAAACAGAACTTTCTCTTGTAGGACTGCCTGACATCAAAAGATCTGGTTATTTATATTTTCTTTTAATCATTCTGGTTGACAGCTGGATTATTTAAATTATTTATTACATTAGGCCTCTAAATTTCTTCAGCACTCTTAATATGACCATCCAATCCCCTTGAATATTTTTGGTTAATAAATAATTAAATTTTAATCTGTCATCAGAAATTTATTAACTTTTCACTTCATTATTTTTTGCTTCCCAAAGTAATAAAATGATTGTGATGTGTAAGAGCACAGGCCCAGCCTTCCTTTGTGTCCCCCTTTGCCATCCTCCCATACACTTCACAAGTCTTAAGTTCCCGTTAAACTAAACCCTTCACAGTTGTCAACCCCCCCCCCACACACACACACCCCTCCCCCGTTTTCCCCTCACAGCTCCGGGTTTTATTATTTCCAGAGTAACTGTCCCTCACTACATTACTCACAGAGCCCACAGAGCCCTCTGCCCTGTCCCACCATATTTAACCTTGAAGTGCCCTTATCTCTACACATACACATACCTAGCACTCCCCTAACACATTATGTAGTTCTATCACTACTGTAAATCAGCTATGTTTGTCTTGTATTTTAATTATACACACACACACATATAAAAATACATAACAATTTATATATATAAACATAATTTCCCTTGCCACACTATCAATTCCAAAAGGAATAAGTCTGTGTCTGATTGAGACCAGTACAGCTCCCTGCAAATGGTGGGAATACACACACACATGCACAGCTAAATAAATGAATAAAAGACTGATGGAACAAAGGTAAATGAGTAAAGAATGAGATGGAAAAATGACATCATGTTATGTATAGACAAATAAATATAAAATGAAATGATGACAGTGAAAAAAACCTACCAAGCAATGATCTTTACACAAAGCAATGCTCTTTCCATGCCCTGTTCAACATAGGCAACTCTTCACTTTACAATAAAAACATACTTTTAAAATTAAAAAATGAGACATCAAATACCATAAATTCTTATTTTTTGTTGAATATATGAAGACTTTGCTTATGTCCAAACTAAAGTTTTAGATTTGAATTCATAGGACTGGTTTTTTATTCAGTAAGTATGGTAGGCAGAATAATGAACCAAAACTCCCCGAGGGTGTCCACATCTTATCTCCAGAACCAGTGAATATATTAGGCTCACCTGACCTTAAAATAGGGGAACTATCCTGGATTATCTATCTGAATGTGCCCAGTGTAACTGTAAAGGCCTTTAAAAGTGGAAGAGGGAGACAGAACCATTAATGAGAGGGAGATAGAGCTATGAAAAAGAAACAGAGATGCAACATTGCTGCCTTCCAGGAGCCTAGGAAGGAGGCAGCCCTGCAGAGCTGGAAAAGACAAAAAACCAAAACCAAAAACAAAGTCTTCCCTAAAGCCTATGGAAAGAAATGCAAGCCTGCCAACACCTTCACTTTAGCAGAGTAAGGCCCAGGCCAGACTTCTGTTCTATGGAAACATAATACACATTCGTGTAATTTTAAGACACTAAATTTGTGGTAAATTGTTATAGCACTAATAGACAACTGATATATTAATAAATTACATGGAACTTAATGTTCTTGGAACACAAATTTCAATTGCATCTTTACATGACAAAAACCACATGATCATTCAAAACACTTGTGTAAGCAAGTTAAAAGCGACTCCATAAATATTTAACAAATGAAATATAAAAAATATAAACATGTATTAAGTAGAAAAATTTTCGTTAAGGGACTTAGAATCCATTAAAAACAAGGCACATACACAATCAACAACAACAACGATAAAATTCTAGTAAAAAGAAAGTGCTAGAAAAGAAGTAAACAAGAGTTGTCCCATTAGGTAGTTGATGTCTCAGAGACACAGCACAAATCACTAATGGGAAGAGAGGCAAAACTAAGAACGAGGCCTGAGATTACCATTTACTGATGAATTAAAATCTAGAATAATTGTAATTGCTTATTGACACTAACAAATAATCCTTGTTTTCTTTTTACTGCTAAAACATCATTTTCCTTCTATTATAGTAATAAAAGACAGTAAACTAAAGATATCATCCTCTTGCTATATAATTTGTGGTTTAATTATCCAACTTTAAATTCTATCTGGATATATATTATTGATGCTTTATGTGGAATTTGGCAAGTAACTTTGGCACTAGACTAGCATTCCTTAAATAATACTGAGAATAGAAATCATTTAAAAATCTTCCAGCCTTCTGAATGAATTCAGAATACTATCTGTACTACGCATAAGAGCACAAATGAGACCAGTGGGGACCATTAGCAAGGTTCCTCTAAATAGAGATAAATCTCCTCAATCTTATATTAACTAATAATACAACTTTAGAAGACATATAAGCCTAAGAAAAACACACTCTCAAAATATTATAGAAAATATATTTAAATGAACATATTACTAGTCTTAACTATAACAAAAACAAAAATGTAAAATTAAACAACCTGACATTCAGAAAACAGTCATTTAAAATAATTGAAATGTAATCATTTTGATAGCATTATATTTAGTTTGCAGCTAAGAGAACATTCACAGTTTTATCTCCTGGCAATGCAGAAGTTATGCTAAAACTAATTATGCAGCAATGATTTTCCAGTTGAATGATTTGGTTTAAGAATTTTGCTTCACTTACAGATTTATATTTACTGAGAAGCCTGCAATGAAATATTGGAACTTAAGCTCTCTGCCTCTTTGTTTACCTGGATCATAGACTCTGCCAACTGTGATTCATCCACTTCCAATATCATCATTTTGATTTCTTCATATGGCACCCGAAAAGAGCTCAGGAAGATTGCTAAAAGTTCACAATGAATATGATTAAAAAAAAGTTTGAGATGTAGTTCTGTATGTAAAATAAAAAATAATTCAAGTAATTCATAAAACATCTAATAAAATTAATGTGGAGGGAAACTTTCATTAGCACGTTATACTTCTCCAGTTTTAGACTTAGTGTTTAAACAACAGTCCTACATCATTATGCTGAGTTTGAGGTTGGTTTTTAATGATTAGTTATTAGCTTATCATAGAAATGGTGCCAATTTTCAAGTGATTAAAAATAAAATATGTTTGGCTCATTATAAAACTATCACATTATAAAAAAAAAAAAACCATAAAGCCCCAATATGTGCATGTAATATGTGTCTAAACACGTGTTATTAGTTTGTGTAAAATATCTTCTAGCACTACTAAACAGTTCAGAAAAAAAAATATTTTAAGTAAACTGCTAAGTAGGACATTGACATTTTACAAGTTATAATAATACTTCATTGTTCAGAAATACTACAGACATTGCCCTGGCCAGTTTGGCTCAGCGGTTAGAGCGTTGGCCTGCGGTCCGGGGAGACCCGGGTTCAGTTCCCGCTAAGGGCACGTACTTCGGTTGCAGTTTGTCCCCGGCCCTGGTTGGTCGTGCGGGTGTCAGCCACTCGATGTGTCCCTTCACGTCGATGTTTCTCTCTCTCTCTCCCTTCCTCTCTGCACAAAAAAATGGAAAAATATCCTCGGGTGAGGATAAAAAAAAAAAAAAAAAGAAATACTACAGACATTATGCCAGAGAACTAGCCTTTGCATGGAACTAAAGCTTAAATATGTAATATAGAAAACAAATTTTCATGGAAAACTGTACAGATAAATTATATGGGATAATATGTTATAACTGAGAATTCCAATATTACTTACTTCATTTGTGATACCTCATATATCTAGTATTAAAACACAGTGATCTTCTAAAAACTGAGATGCATTAGAATATTTCACAGCATGAGATTCGATGCTTTGCTGTTCCCCTTATTCCACTATTATCATGTCTCTTCTCTGCATGGACAGATGTCACTTCTTGAACAGGACTTACTAACCACTAGACCACTAATTTATTTTATATACTAAATTTATATCATTTTGTCAGTATTTTCAAATAAGGATACTATTTTCCATATGATCTACTTCTTTCTTAGAGGAAGGCTGTATTCAGATTCCTGATGATACCAAGTAGCATCTGCAGCTGAATAACAAAGACACCCATCTACGTTCTTATCACCAGCTTCATTCACATGTTTTGGACTCAAGCAGTCATAAGTCTAGAATAATAGTGCTATAAATTATATATAATATATGAATATGTAATCCTTAATATCCCCAAAACAAGTTGGAACAAAGGATTGAAATGATATTGCAATAAAGAGATTAATGGAATTACAAAAGGATAACTCCAAAGTAGACATTAGAAAGCACAAAAATATGATAACTAATATGCTCTTTAAAAGTAAATGACGAAACTCTGGCCAGTGTGGTTGAGCTGACTAGGCATCCTTCTACACACTGAGAAGTCATCGGTTTGGTTCCTGGTCAGGGCGCATGCCCAGGATGCAGGCTAAATCCCAGTTGGAGTGCCTGTGGGAAGCAGCCAATCAATGTTTCTCTCTCACTTTGATGTTTTTCTCTCTTCCCCTCTCCCTTCCTCTCTCTCTAAAATCAATTGTCTTTTAAAATAAGTATATATGGTCCGGCCATTGTGGCTCAGTGGTTGAGCGTCAGCCCATGCACCAAGAGGTCACCAGTTCAATCCCTGGTCAGAACACATGCCCAGGATGTGGGACCGATCCCCAGTGGGGGGCATGCAGGAGGCAGCCAATTGATGTTCTCCCTCATAGATGTTTCTATCTCTCTCTCCCTCTCCCATTCCCTCTCTCTAAAATCAATAAAGAAAAAATAAATAAAAGAAGCATATATGAAGAGAAAATATCAGAGAATTTTCCAGAATTACAGAGCCACAAAATATTAGATCAAGGAGGTTCAACAAATATAAAAAAAAAAAGGCCACACTAGATAGATCCCTGTAGAACATCAACCATTTGGGAGGTGTAGAGTGGGAATGCTGGAGCACTGCTGGGGAAGAGTAACTGGTACACCCAATGAATAGGTATACAGTCAGCCCTCGTTTATTGTGGTTACTCAGATCCAGACTCTACCAGGATAAATGAATTTCCACAAAGTAGGATTCTTTATTTATACAAGTCGTCCTTCACCACTTCGTGCTTCGACTTTCGTGGCTTCACTCTATCGCGGTTTTTTAAACATAGTACAGTATTGAAAAAAGCCATCAAATTGAAGCGCAAAGTGGCGAGGGATGACTGTACATTTAGAGCAGGGGTCACCACACTTTTTCTCTTAGGAGACACAACTAAATATTTTATGATTTGTGAGCCATACAGTCTCTGTCACAGCTACTGAACTCTGCTACTATAGCACAAAAGCAGCCATAAACAATGTGTAAATAAATGTGCTGTATGTTCCAATAAAACTTTGCTTCCAAAACAGGAAATGGACAAGATATAGCCAAAGGGCCACACCCTCTCTTAGTAACACCAAACACGGGAAACCCAAAGTCAGCCAAACATTGAATGAATAAAGTGTGACTTTCAAAATTTAATTTGCAGATAAACATACTTTATTCCTTTACTTTCTTTTACATTTACAAGTCATTCACTACTTCCAGGTATTACTCCATAATTAAAATAGTAAACACATTAAACACACATATTTAGAAAGACAAAACTATGGTCCAATAAATTCTTTTGTGAAAAACATTTGCTACAACTAAGAATAAAAAACAAAACAAAAGAATTTAAAATGCATAACACACTATTCAGAAGACAGCACAGACCTGATTTTTTAAAAATGTTTGTTATTGAGAATAATCTGAGACTCAATTAAAGCTTCCAAAAGACCCATTAAAATTAATATTTTTACTAACATGCATCTTATTCTTCAAAATGTGATTATATAGATCCCAAAGGGAACCTAAGTCAGTGAAGGAGTGTAAGTGTGCAGATTTCCGAACGAGTCACACATGTTTCCTGCAATGGAACTTATAAATATTTAAACCTTCATGTTAATTTGTAGATTCTTAGGTTCCTCCCTTTATGCCTCCTAATACCCCCTACAAAAAGTCTGGTAAAGCACAGGGACCCTGCAAACCTTCTGAGCCTTTTCTTGATCCATGAGTGGCTGGAATTCTATCTTTTATGCAGGGCTCAGAGTCTTTGCCAAAACCTTTATAAGTTCAATATACACTGAACCTAACCCACCTTTAAATATGTACCTGTTTACTTAAACAGGTAAATAAATGGGAGATTTTAGATGCTTTCCTCAAAATTCTATAAAATATTTCAGTTAAGAGAAATCTAAGAAAAATTATCTTAGCTTTATAAGTGACAAGACAGTCTTGTCACTATCATGAGACAATCTTCTCAGAATTCAGTATCTCAAAAGACTAAATTTCATAGACAAAAACCAGCTGTGAATCAAACTATAATTACAGTAAAGATTTTAAGGCTGCTAAAGCTTCTCAGAGCTTAAATCATAATACTTGCTGCAATCAGGGAGGGCAAGAATAATACTAGAATGGATTACCTCATAATGTGACAGTATAAATACTGGACCTTGTTATCTTATACTTTAAAACATGATTAACAATTAAATGAATAGATATATATCCTCTAACTAAAGCAAAAAAAACAGTATCCTGCTCTGTGATAATGTAATTTATTATTTCTAAATGTAAATAAATACAACATGTACCTTTTGGACATTTTCAAAATAAGCACTCTTATTCAAGTCATGAACTGCTACAGCCACCAAATTTCCCACTTACAATGTCAACACTGCTACCCACTAGGTGGGCTGTAGTAAAGACTAAAGAGCTGAATACACAGCAAGCACATAAAGGTAATCAATAATAACTATTACAATTAAATCTGAAATCCTATGTAGCACATGTTCTGTAATATATAAATAATGCAGATTCATAAATACAAAGAACTTTTTTTTAATAATTTATTTTTCTTACAGATGTTTTTCCTTTTTATCCCCATAGACACCCTCCTCCCCATTCCCCCGACCGCATCCCTGGCTTTGTTGCCCATATCCATCAATTATGCGTACATGCATATAAGTTCTGTGATTTATATCTTCCCGCCCAACCACCCCGTCTTCTGAGGGTTGTCAGTCTGTACACTACTTCGACGTCTCTGTTCCTCAGCATACCATGTTCATTACATTCCAGAAATAAGTGAGATCATGTGAAATTTGTCTTTCTCTGCTAGGCTTGTTTCACTTAAGATAATATTCTCCAGGTCCCTCCACGTCATCTCAAAGGATAAGAGATCTTTCTTTCTTAACACCTGCGTAGTTCTCCATTGTGTATACGTACCATTGCTTTTTTATACATTCGACTACTGAAGGATATTTGGGCTGTTTCCAGATATTAGCTATTGTAAACAGTGCTTCTGTGACCATGGGGGTGCATATTCTTTCTGATTGGTGTTTCAGGCTTCTTAGGGTATATTCCGAGAAGTGGGATCACTGGGTCAAATGGCAGATCATTTTTTAATTTTTTCAGGAAACACCATAGTGATTTCTATAGTGGCTGCACCAGTCTGCATTCCCACCAGCAGTGTACCAGAGTCCCCCTTTCTCGACACCCTCACCAACACTTGTTGTTTGATGATTTGTTGATGGTGGCCATTCTGACAGGTGTGAGGTGATACCTCATTGTTATTTTAATTTGCATCTCTCTGATGATTAGTGATGTTGAGCATTTCTTCATATGGCTCTTGGCCATTTGTATGTCTTGTTTGGAGAGGTGTCTACTTATCTTCCCTACTCATTTTTTAATTGGGTTCTTAGCCTTCCTTTTCGTGAGTTGTTTTTTTTTTTTATCCTCACCCGAGGACATTTTTCCATTTTTTGTTCAGGTAGAGTGGGAGGGAGAGAGAGGAACAGAGAGAGAGAGAG